AATATAGTCTATTTTGCAAAGTCAGCTGTGCACTGTTAATTCAAATTCCTACTACAGATTCAGTCGTCATTAAAATTTTGTTTTCATAGACATCACTTACATGCAGATAAATGGGTACCTGAATAATCTAAACTTGGACTTTTAACTTTCTTCGATTGATGTTTAGTTTTTCAATCCATTCCTTCACAACACAGTGAAACACTATCATCAAACCTTTATCTTGTTGACATTCCTCTTTACTTTTTTATCCTCAAAGTAAGCCTCCCTAGAGATTACTGAGAATGAGCTATTATTTACCTTTCCTCCAATAACAGAGTTATAGTCTTTATCAGAAATGTGAAGCTGGTTGTCCTCGCTACGAGACTTCTCCACCAGTAGAGCTATCAGTGTGATCATCTTTTCCAGTGACATTGGCTTATAGTTATCATCAGTGATTGTAATCACCTCATCCTCCTCATCATCTGATGGGATCTCCACCTATATAACAGATAATGTGAAATGCACACAAAGGTACAGTTTGAGGAGATACAATGTAGATAACAATCCGAGAGCATATATATTATGAACGTTACAAAAACAACACTTTGAAAACATCTTTGATATCAAATGTACTGCTTAAGAAGAGATTTTTACACCACATATTTTTTGTTTCTATTATGAAGTTAAAGTATCAGTAAATTAAATGTTGTATACAAGGTAAATGCAGGTAGAAGAACTCACATAGTTTTCCTGAGCCTTCTGTCCCATGTAGAAACCAATCATAGTAGAGATGGCATTACTGTTAATAAGGAAGAAACACTCCTCATCTCCCATCTTTGCAAACTCCAACAGGAAGGCAAAGTACTCAGTCAGGTACTTACTGTGGGGACGCACACCATGCTCAATCTGTATTAATGCAAAGTACAGGTAAAGGGAAAGTAATATTTGGTCATTAGTTGTGCTTCATAATATATCTAAGGTCATTTAAAAAGGGCATTAAACTTCATTATTTAATTATCTTATATATTAAATGTATGAAAATGTACATTACAATTCAAAGTCAAAACATGTCTGTACTAAAAATTAATAAAACAAAACATATCTGTTCTAAAAATTAATAAAACAAAACATGTCTGTACTAAAAATTAATAAGACAAAACATGAAAATGATTGTAAAACATGCATATGCCTCATTATTTGATGGAAATGGAGCTTCACATAAAATCTAATCAATGAAATGGCACTAAATGCAATGTCTAACCATGTTGGTGAATAAAAAAATATAGGTCATAGTGACCTACAAATGATATATCGGTGCAGTACTCAGGATGTATCCCACAAGAAGTTTGATGCTAAACAGGACGTCTAATAAAGCTGAATCGAAGGACAAACATATGGCCTGACAGAAAAGTCAAACACTTAATGACCCCACTATATAGCCATGGCATAAAAATCTGCCATGGGTGATATCAAATACGTTCCCCGATTCCAAAAACATATATTGAGAAGTTTCTTTTCAGACAACTTCTTGAATATCAAATACGATTATGATTTACCAGATTATGAGGCAAGAAGTCTGGCAGAAATAGGACTTCTGTTCAACAAGAGCAACAGTGTAACCGAACATTTTTTATATACTCTGACCCAGCTGTGCCATCAGAAGGATTCCATTGTATGTCATTTAGCATGACAGACCAAAGGGACATTACCTACAATCTTATACTCACAATTGTCAGCATCTTCTTGATGAACCTGGTCACACAGGACTTGGTGCCCAACTCCGATACATCTATCTCACCGTCGTCACTGGAGGCAACAACCACACAGTATTATATTACCAGAGCAAACAGTCATGAATACAATCAAATTTCCACTAGAGAGGAAACATTCAGCTATGCCTGTAAAATTAAGCACTTAAATGTTCATTAGCTCCAATTATTGTTACATATAGACTGATTTCAGGTATTACTACTTAGACTTCATTTAATCATATACTGTTAATGAGATAAAGTCTTTAATCTAACACAATTAAGAGACCAATACTCACCCCTCAATGAACGGCTGTAGGTACAAGTCCATGTGAGCTGACCGTAACTGGGAGATCACATGTATCAACAGTCGCTGGAACATCTAGACAACACAAAAATCAGTGTTAGTTAAAGTTAAGTTTGTCCAATGCCAACAATGTCTTTAAACAAATATTAAGAAGCAACCATTATCAAGGATTGAAAAGGGGAAGGGAATTGTAAATGTATAAGGTTATAAAGGTGACACTTTCTGTAATTCCGATCTGGTTAGATGTATGTTTGAGTGTGAGTTCAAAGAGACAAGCACTGACCTGTCTGACCATCTGGTTTGGACACTTGATGAGGATCTGTATCGGCCACCAGTCACTCTCGGCCATGTGGTCGAGGAACCACTCACACGCTGAAGGACATGTGTTAAACTGTTTGGTCAGTAGCTCTATCCACTGCAGCATGGTCGGCTGGCAACAAAAGTGTGCTTTGTTTAACAAACCTACATGAACAGGGTTTCACTTCACTTACATTGTTGGTCAGCCATAAATTTTCTATGACAAGGGAGTGAAATTGCATTTTTTTTTTTAAAGACCCGCTTTACTACAGATTATCAAGGCATAAACCTGTTAAACAAGAGCAACAAATTTAAGAAAATCATTTTAGTGGACCATGTTCTACTGAAGAATTATCTTAACTTAAAGTTGAATGAGTTTTGCAGGGTTACAAGTTACATTAAATATTAAACTGAAGTTTGGCTGGCTCACTGAAAATTTTATTGAACTAAAGAATTAACAACATTAATTGGTAAAGACGTATCTTTTACTTTTTGGACAGTTAACATCATAGAAAATGCATATTATATATTAGGAAGGCATTTTACCTTTTCCTTGGCATGTATAAGGGTCTCGAGGACAAAGGAAGT